AAAAGGTGGCCCCGTCCAGGAAACACACACCCGGGCAGACGAGCTCAGAGCCAAATAGAAATAATAATCCAACTATTTGTCCTTATTTTTGTGGCATTTTTATGCTGAAGTTCTTTACAGGTGGTGTAGGATTTGTAGGTCAGTGGTTCTACGTGTCAATACATCAGGTGATTTCAGAAAGGTACAAGATTCTGTAAAATTACTACCAAAAATTGAATTTGTACTTGCAAATATTTAAATATTTTTAAACATCAGAGTCACTTTAAACATGAGTATTTCAGTACTTTAACTTAAGTAGATTTTTGATTGAGTAACTTTTCTTGTAGTTGAGTAGGATTTGATTATAAGTACCAGTACTTTTACTTGAGTACTACAGTTGTGTACTTCACCCACCACTTGTTGAAAGGGGTCAAAAGTAGGTGGATATGACAAGTCATTCTGTTTTCTGTCATTTTATTGGTCATCAAACAACAAAAAAGTAAAATTGTAACAATTTTCCTATAAAATGTTTAGATTGGGATCATGAGAGCACATTAGAAAAAATATGAAATAGTCCTGGAAGAGTTTATATCTCCTGAAGACAATGCATGGATGTTCTGGGAAAGCATTTATTAGCCCCCTCTAAAATGTACAAACATCAATCCCTCACTAATATTGTGCATTGAGGCTCAGTGTCCTGGGAACAGTATAGAAATACAGTGCTTAATATCATTTTCTTTCAAGCAGAGGAAACCTGAAGTCTGCTACATGTGTTTTTTTTTTCTGTTAACCAGTTTATCTTTTAAAAAACTTTAACATTATATTTTGTTTATTCATCTTTCAAAAACGTAAAATAAACGATAACGTTTATCTTAAAGTAGCTTTTGAACATGTCTCCTCTTTAAGTCTGTGTTTAATAAGTCGTCAGTTTCTAAATTCAGTAGCCTACCATATGTAGCATGTACCATAGTAAGGTACAAATGTTCAAAAAAAAAAAAATAGGAGTTAAGCTTTATTTTAATCACATCCTGAGCTGTTCTTTAAAAAAAAATTTGAAGAAAAAGTAAACATTCTAATTTCCTGTTTTCCTGAACGCACCACTATTGTTTATTTTCAAACAGACTCCATCCAGTGATCTGATTGGTCGGTTCCGACCCGTTCGCGAGTAAATATTCAGCGCGTAAAATCCCCTTTTTCAAAAAAACTATCATTATCGGTAAATCTTTTGATTTGGAAAGTTAATTTCTTACAAGATGTTTTACTACCCAAACGTTCTCCATCGCCATTCTGGATGTTTTTCAACAATTTGGTAAGTTAAACAACTCTGATTGTTAACTTGTAACAAAGAAAGGGAAAATATTGAGCTCACAAGAATAATAGCAGCTTTTGATCTTCGTGCAATTCTTTGCGATCTCTTTGATGATTAATTGTTTATTTTTTTTGGTGTGTTGTTTTGAAATGCTGTCTATGTTTTGGCTATCAGGTTAGCAGCTACCACACGCAACCGTGTTTCTCGCAGGGAGTGGCTGGGTGTCAATGTGAAGCTGACATGGTAAGAATGAAACTTCAAAAAATATATTTTAATAATACAAACTATAAAACAATCCCATGATTACCAGACGGAGCGGCCATATTAGTTTAGACCAAGCTGCTGTTCAGAAAAAATACAATTAATTGAGGCTAACCCTGCTGTATGACTTTAGACATTCTGAAT